ATACGCCATACATTCCGATACATACAAGATTCCGACCGCATTGCATAGGAAATCATTGGATTAATTATCCGAATAAAATCATTAGTTCTTTCGCTTACGGTGTTTCTAGATTTGATTCACACAGGCGTTCGTACTTTATAGGCAGGGTTGGGTTCGTTGCCCGGTCAGCTAGACGGCCCACTTGGACGGAGCTAAATGAGATAGAGTGGACTAAGTTCCAAGCAGCCACCCAATACTGCGCCTAAACAAATACGATAAGTTCTAGGATCTAGGATTACCTTGAAAGGCAATCAGCACTTAGCATTTCTATCACAGCGCGTCTGTTAATTAAAGTATCTCGTGCGTTGCGTTTTTGACTAAAAAAAAAGGACAGCAATAGGCCAGAGCAGCTAAATCTTAATAAATGCTTGTGTACGCAAGAGGCCGCATAGATAATGAAGTAGTACTGCCTCTACAATGCAAAGGGTTGTTCTTGTCGAAACAACGTTGAGAGTAGCCAAGGTGTTTATAATAATCGATAATGGATAATGATTCTTGTATGTAGGTCAAATGATCATTTCGTGGTGAAGAGCTAAAGACGTTTGAAAACGTATCCGCCAAACCGATCAAGCTGATTTCGTAATTCTATGCGTCATTTAGATATTGCACTAAGTACAAATAAAAATGCCCTATGCGGAAAAAGTCGTTTCTACATAAGCGTTTTGTTGGACCCGACCGTTTGTAAATAAATTACCCAAAACTTTTTGAAAATAGGATAAAAAGAATATCGGCGGATTGTGTTTGCAATCATGGTATAAAAAAGACTCGATACCTACGCCAGCTACCGACGAAGACTGTCCCCATATGATTTATATCCACCGTACTACTTGTAGTGGGTGTATGTTTTATGGTATCATAATTAATTGGTAAGAAGCAGTTATTTATTGCCTAATGGAGTTTTACTCGTTTCACCTTATACCTGGTAGGACGCAACTTCTAAATAATGTCAACAAAAAAATATCTGCACGTAAATACATAGGTCTTTCTTTTTCAAAGTTTACACATTTAAAATTTTAGTTGCGACAGCAATAAGCCGGGCTCTTTTGGCTTTCTTCATGCCAGTCATTCGTTTCACCCAGCTTTTTGGCCACGTTTTCGCATGTATTTGGCCCCATCTCCGAAATGGCGGGACGGATATTTTCCTTATGTTGGTTCACCGTTCGTGAATTGTCGTAGTGCGCTTTGCTTTTTAGGTAACCCCATAAAAAGAAGTCGGCCGGAGCTGTGTCACGTAACCGGGGGGCCATTCAACCTACCTAACGGTCACAGACATGATCCCTTAATAACGTGATTGGTAATGTCATTAGTCTAGGAGCGGTAACCACATGTCTTACGAACCTTCTTCAGCGATTTGGGGTGCAAGCTTGAGATCGTTTCTTGGTAACAAACGAAGTTCACAGTTCTACCGTAAAAGCTCTAATAATGCCTCCAGCCTACGTGCCAGATCAGACAGCGTTCTGTCGGGATGTGAACCTTTTTGTGAATAGCCCCCTTTGGTCCCGCACAGGCAGTAACCTTGTTTGTTCACCCTGCCCCACGCCAAAAATACGACTTGCAGTTGAGCACAATTTTCCTGTAAACTGTACTATCTTGTTGCAGCTTGTCTAGGTACGACTGAAAATCATATGGTCGTTATTATACAAATATTATCATTTCCAATGGGACCTAATCCTAATCACACTTCATGTAAGCTTGTACTCCCGAACCCAGAAACGACTTTTATTTCATCGGCACCTATTTATATGTATCTGATTAGCTTTTTTTTATATTATACATATTTGTACCCCAATAACAATTATATGAGCATTGGTGCTTTCGAAGACAGAAGTTAGGCCTGCTGTGGCTAGGAGCGATAACCCACCTAGATAACCGTTGATTCTTAGTTACTGGCAATAGCGGGTAGGTTCATCTCTTTGAGAGATAAGTATCCGAATGATAAATGTAAGTTATGCTATCTTTTACGATACATTGTTCGATAAAAGTCATTCTAAAGCCACAATGGGAGTTCATCGTTGTTTAATATTTTAAACGAGCTTCGCGTACTTTTCTCGCGGCAGTTTTCAGTTAAATATAAGGGCCATTTTATGCAGAGCTAATACTATTTTACGATTAGGCCTATCATAAAACCATGCTGTTGTACTGTTTCAGTTTTTGCACCATGATCAGTATTGAGATTTGTCCTAATCTAGGCAAGGTAATTTGTCCTAAAGTTGTTGCTTTTACATGTTATGTGTAACAGAAATTGATTATACCTACAGCCATAGAAATGACAGCCTTTGCCTTCGTGAGCACTCGTGGCGCTCACAACTCGTTAAAATAATCGCTATTATCTTTTATTAATTTGTCAGCTAGATTTTCGGAATCGTTGATGTAGCGGGTCGTAAACACAGATATGGTTTCGTGTGGTGCTCTAGTAGGCTTTGAGCGGCCGTAATAACATCATTTGCGTCAACACTGCAAGAGATACGACACGTTATCAATTTCGAAACAACCATTGTAAATGTCTTTTTTAATGCCAAGTCCTAGCTGACCAAACCGGCCATTGTTTCTTATATTTTCCTTATTCCTCTGCGTACAGGAGCTCAACTTTGGCCAATGTATATTGTTTCTCGTTGGTGGAAGTCAAACGAATCGCTATTATTACACTTTATGTTGCAGTGTTGTAAACAGGCCCTAAAATAAAGTATAAAAATAGCGAAGCTTTTTTAGGTCATACGTAATTTATACCCATATCGTCTCGTACTTATATAGATTGAAAGAGTTTCCGTTAACGTATAACTGCGCAGTTAGTTTTCTTCCCTCCTTCGCAAACTTTCATTTCCTCAGTAGGATTTATATCGGTGACTATGAATAATTGGTCTAATAATAGAGGTTCTAAATATGTCATGCACAAGCAACCATACGAATCCTGCCTACTGTGTGATTTCTAGCAAACGATTCATTTTTCCCGGACATGTTGCCTTGCTTAGTATATCCTCATCTAGATAAAAGGTTCTAATTTTTTAGGTAATAATTTAATAATTATTTTTTTCATAGTTTCTTACTTGCTTTATAGTTTTCAATTGCTTCGGTGTTGTTGACTTTTATCACAAAGGATGGTTCAGAATAGTACGTTAATGAGCAGATATCTTCGTGTATCTGCGTGCGTTATTATCGATACGCAATAGCAAAGGTAAGACTAGTCGGAATCGTAGTGGCGTTATCTTCTCTCCGTATATTTGCGGCGAGAATGTCGTGATCATCTGAGGTGTTACGGTATACTGCGTCAACTTGTTGACCTATTATCTAAAACTTCTAGCTATCGTTAGCCGTCACGTTAGCCAAGAAATGTTTTCTTTAAACGAATACCGTTTGTCATTGCATCGGTCCATTCGTTTGAAAGGCTACTACCGTTTACATCAGATATAAATACATCCCCACACATCTTCATTTTCATGGCTTCCCTTATTTTGCAATAAGAAAATAAAAATGGAGTACTAATAAAAAAATGTCATTTTAATTTTTGCGATAAACATTATAGAAAATTAATAAGAGAGTTGACATTGTCTTTAGCTAAAGTTATACTGTGGTGTTCCTTGGTTTTGTTGTACTATAGGCATAATTATTATAAAATGCCAATTTTTTGTAAACCAAATATGAAGTAAGTTAATAGTTATATATACTGGTTCTGTGAGAAGAAACAAATGTAATCTCGTATCTGTATTATTTCATTTTGGGCAACTGAATCTAGCTATTTTCTTAGAATCTAACGGTTATATCACGGTGATCTTGTATTATTATTATTAGTATTAACATTTTAAGGCAGTATAAGTATTGCTTTATAATTTAGTATTGAAAGTTATTAAGCGAGATACAAGATTTTTTAATCTAGACTCAAACACTTAATGCCGGGGACGCGTTCCCGACGTGGTCGACGATTGTCTTAACCATGTGGATAGGTTACCGCTTATTTTTCCAGATAGCGCTATATTATACTCGCACTTTTTTTTTATCAGTAATCTTTTTATCAGTTAAAACGTTTCAGTCGGAATGGTGCTTACTACATCATCTCATAATTTTATGCTCCTGAGTTTGATAAGATAAGGCATCATATTTTTTCCGTTGAAAAAACGTTTCGCCAAAATAGTGATTCGGCAAAAGGCGTGTTTATTGAAAGCTCAAATGCCTATCGCCATATGGTAATCCATAGTATTCGAAAAGTGACGCCACCTGATAGCTTCTAAAAGAAGTTGCTCAACAGTTGTTAAAAACATTATGTGAAGGCTTTAACAAAAAATAGAATTTTAGAAGTTGGGTAGCTTCTGAAACGCATTCAAAAGGTCATGCAGTCCTGGCATGAAAAATAACTTCGTTTTAATAACACATTCCTATTGGTAGAAGTAGAAATAAACCTATTTTTGCCGAAATTGGCTCGTTCCTGCGAAACTAATAGGTATATGCTAAAACTACTCTAGGAACGAGCTTATCCTCGCAGTCGCAATGTGATACAGTCAGTGGCCAGTCGAGACCTGTAATTGCTTGGCAAAGAAATTACGAAATTTGCATCAAGCTAAGGGTAATCAAGTTACTCCTTCGGTATTCAACACTGGACGCATCTTTCCTCTAGGAAATATCTTTTTAATTACTAAACGGAAATAAAGTGAAATGGGCTTTTTTTTGTAACGATACATGACACAATACCTGATACACGATATCATACAATATCGGCTGAACCTGCTAGGCGAATAGATACACCCAATTTTGATGCTGTAATCGCGCACTTGAGGACAGTCTCAACATGAAGGTTCTTAACGTGCATGTACAATATTACATAGTATCACTGTGGCAGGTTGTGTCACATTGTCAACCCTTTTGATAATATTTCTACAGCGGATTGTGTAGCTTCTTAGAACGCCAAACGGTTGCATGGGCTTTCGAATACCCATATACCCCGAACGGCCTATGCACTTTGTAATTACTGCCTTTTGTAAGAACTCAGTGTTACTATCCCCCTCCCGCCCCCCGTAAAAACTAATGCCGCCCCTAGCACGGTGGGTGAAAGAATTGCCTTTTCATATTTCGATTAGCGCGGCGATGGAAGCATTGCGCCAACTTGCACGGCCGCCGTAACGCAGACTTTGTCCCAAGTACGCTGTCGTTCAATGTGGCCATTCTGTTCCGCGATGCTTGAATCCGCAGACGATGTATATGAAAAGCTCGTATCGACAACATTCTCAGTAAGCGCAAAATTCTAGAAAAGTCGCAAGTACGGACGAGTAAATTAATTGATTAGTAAATTCTTTTATCTTAAACCTGAAGAACTCATCACCAGTATAAAAACAGATCATGACACGGCGGTTTACCTGGAAGTGTTGGAATACTCACGAATGGTCTTTTGGTGTTGCATGCCGACATCTGAAATTTTCTATATTACTTTTCAGGACAATGTGTAATTTTTGTCTTTACGCTCTTCTTTGCCTTCTGGCTTTTTACGCATCACAAAGGAAAAGGCTTTTGCTTCAATTATTTATCTTCTACCAAACCGTTTCCAATAATTCACCTCTTTTGCGTTCGTTTCAATCTCACAAGCTGCGATAATTAACGATCGTTAGGGTCGTCTTTCGCTCTCTCACTTGCTTGCTGTTCCTTTACCTATGGATCCCTTTCGCTGCCCTCACATTTTACGCGCGTGCCCTTGTCAGTTCGCGTACGGCGGCTCAGACACGGCAGCGCCATCTGACGGCAACGCAAGCGGAAATTTTGTTAGGTGCCTGGCTAATTTACTCATCTGCTGCCACCGCGGCGACAAGTGTTAGCAGCGAACGATTCGTCGCGGCGCAGAGACAGAGAGCTCATTGTAGTTGTTATCGACGCCGGCTACTTGCACTAGTAGGTCTATTCATGTCATGTTACTAGCGACGAGCGCTGATGAGGGGCAGTGCGCGGCGATACAGATACGACTCCTGAAAGGAGTTGGCAGGGAGCTTGCAAGAAGGGGAGAATGAAAACTGTTTGTATGATTCTCACTACTCTATGTCGAAATCTATCAAATAACGAGGGAAAGACTGTGGAAGAGTAGAGAGCGAAAAAAAAAGAGTCATTTGACTCAACGTCTTAGGGTTACTTTGCTGGTTTGCAAAGACATCCTTGGACGGCTCAGTGGTCCCCTCGATTCTGTGCGCGTGTGAACAAACGAAGTGTCGACGAAGCGTTAGCTATTGACAGCTTAGTTAACTTCAACAAAACCAGAAACAAAAACAAAAAGACAATTGATTAATTCCACTGAAGACAAATCCAAACAAGATTGTGGTTTTAGCATTCAGCAGTGGTTGGGCTCTACGTTCTTCTATGTTATGAAAGAGTTTCTGTGGCAGTGAACTGGGAACAAAATCGACCACATCTAAGTCAAGGATGCGCTTTCGTAAGGATGTTTACCTCGACCCCAACACTTATTCAGTCATCTCGGATAACAATTTGATCTTCTGCAGGGTCCTCGAGCTCGAGAGTGCTCTTGAAGATGAGGCGTACTTGGATCAGCGGCGAATCCGACAGATCTGCAAACTCCGAACGTTGCCCGACCATTTGCGCACACAAGTCTGGAAGGTGAGCTCAGAAATTAATTTCAACTCTGTTTGTCCGGTGAGATATGTTTAGCTGTTTGTGGAATACGTTACGTATGAATATGTAACTATCATAGTGAATGTACGTGCACCTGTAGGGACTAATGGGCCAATACTTTAGATGCTGTCCACATAAATCTCTATTGCATCGACGACTAGACGGACTGGTCTGTAGATAAGGGTACCAGTCCGCAATAATTAGGCACTACCTCGTAATTTATGTAGCATAGACTTGTTTTTATTTTACAAGAAGAGTAGAAAAGGTCGTAAACATTTTACGCCAATAGTTTGTGTATTATGATTAGCAATATTTACACGACGGTCGTATTTCTCTCTAACCTGGCTAAAGGACGGCAGCGAACGTACGGACGAGTGTCTCGCAAAATGTTGTAGTTCTACTTGATAGGATTGAACCTTTTGTAATAGTGAGAAATAATTTGGAGCAATAACGGTTTGTCGGTAACAGTAATGCAGTGAGACATCATTCACGGGCACTACGAAAAAGCCCGATGCGTCTGTCAGAATCTGTTTGTTTACCTCGGTGCTTCTTTCTTGTAATCCGTTTTCCTGGTTTTCCTGGTTTTTCGGCACACAATTGCTGGACTGCGCTGGTGCAGATAGAACAATCAGTCTCCATCTAAGCAAGATAAATAGGTATTTCGAACTGGGCGTTCTCCTGTGTACGCCATTTGTGCGCTCGTTTCCATGGACGAATATAGTTTGTTAGCTGGGGTGCGGATGGTCGCTAGCATTGGCCAGAAGTGACTATACAAAAATTCGCTGTTAATATTACCTGGCTTATTTCTAATGGCAAACAAACGTTGAATGTATGTGAGTTCTTTGTAATGATGGCAGATGTTATAAGTGAGTAGAAATGAATCTTTGTTTACTCGATTTTTGAGGCATACATTGTACGAATGATTAGAATGATCATTAACTGCATGTCGGATTTTTTTCGTTTGGGATAACGTGGGTAACGGGATAACAGTAGATCCCCGACGTCTAAATTTAAAGCAGCCTTGCTCACCATTTAATAAGCAGTTATTATTTGTTTGTCATACATTAGGCGAAACGCCCCCGTTCAGCTGTGTTTTTATGAATCATTTATAAAATACCCTTGCCAACATCTTTTGTAAGTAGAAAAGAAACCTGTTTAGATCATTTAGATGATTGTCTCGGCCAACGCAAACATTAGTACATGTTTTTTATTAGACTAGCGGCGCTGGTGTTTATCCGTCTAACATATTTACTTCAAATTGATGGTCCGACGAGGTATCCCGCTACGATGCCCACACCATTCTGCGGCGTGCAGACGCTTTAAATATATACAAAAGCTAATCGTTTTCTAGCCCAGATATCACAGTGTGCAGCTCTTTACTGTAAGAAAGTTATTAGCAAGACCCGTTTGAAACTCCAAATATTTATAGGAAACCATTGTGCGTCTACTGCGAGACTTTTTTTCTATTGCGAGAATTTAGTCAGTCGATGCTCTCCAAATGAAAATTATAAACGGTAACTGCTCGAATGAAATTCCACTTTTCCGGCGCCATCCGATCCTCATATGAGCCCATTAGAGGTTACTGCTGGATGTCCGTGTAAGGCTAATGTTTTTGGGAAGCTTTGGCATTTATCTCACGAGTTTGATACGATTCATTTATTATAAATAAACGTTGGGTTTAATTAACGATGTAGCAAAGGAACGGATTGTTATTTTAGTGGGTACCCTGAGCGAAAACACGGGTCGTACCCATCCCCAATCTTATCTTCATTTAGCTGTGCGTAAATAATTCTTCCAAACTGACGCTCAATTCATAGTCAATAAGAACAGTCTTTAGCATGCTTCGGTTTCCTCACTTGAAGACCTTTTATCCATGCAAAATGGTATCCCTTCTTGTTGTCTGTTGCACAGTAACTACATATTATGCTGTAATATCTACACATGGTCTTCGAAGCAGACAAACTAGCGTGACAATTACAATGATATGATCTAATAAGGCCCTAATATAGTAGCACATTTGTCGAGACCGAATATTGACTTGATATATCAACATTTTCATGCCGTTTCACATGACAGATTGTTTATGTGATAAAAAGACACTAACAAAGATTAAGTTCTACCAACTTAATGATTGTTTGTTTACTGTTGAAGAAGTTTTTACGCTTTGAAGAAAGAAAATATAGTTTATGTTGCGAGTGAATTTTCGAACGATTGAATTTAATACTACTAATTTAATAATAAAATATTTAACTATAGAGTACAGGCGGGTTCTGATTTTTCTTTGTTGCGTATTTGCTCATTAGAGGGCAACTATTTTTAATCCTTATCCAATAAATAAACTTCAGAGCTAATTCGTTGTCTTAAAAATGGCCTAATAGTTCCATCTTGCTGTTTTCGCGTATGTATACAGTATCCCTTGTCGGCCATTCCTTCCCAGAAAGATTCCATTACACTTGGGCTTTTGTATGTAACTTTCGCTACGCATTCTCGAGTGTTAAAAATACTATATACCGAATAATGTGAACAAAATAGTGGGCAAGAAGGGGCGAATATACTGTCCTAAGCTGATATGTACATTTAAAAATGCTAATGCTAGAAAAAAGCGCTTCAGAAACATATCGCATCAAAATAAATGTACAAAATATTAATACGGATAACATAGATACCGTTTGCACGATATGTCGTTTTAGCAGCGTGCCATTGTTGCTGCTGTTGCTGTTGCTGTTGCCGTTGACGTTCGCAATCGGTTATACTGCTCGTCGCTTGCGTCGGCACGTGCACGGGTATGTAATAAGGCTTGGTGGCCGGCCGCGTGGACGGATGGAACGAACCGACTGTTGCTGCCTGTGACGCTAGCGTTAATATGCAGCACCAGTGGTAATGACGGTAGCCGGACTATGTTAAAGCGGTAGCGATTGCGACTGCCTCCGCTTGTCAATGTCCACCGATCGGCCTAAAAACCTACTACACAACGCTCTATCGGAGATAACTGCATTGCGGACCCAAAAGAAAACCTTGAAGAAAGGCCTTACATGAGTCGTCGCTGAAAGTGGGAAGAAAATGCCACTCCTGACTGGCAGTAGTGATAACATTAGTGCAGTAGGCCGCGGCTGGCGATAACGGACAGCGACGAAATCACGCATATACGGCACTTGGTACTTTGTGCTAGTAAAACTCTATGCCAGCGTTGGACGAGCGTCATATAGCTGAAGCCATCATTTGTGAAAAGTTATATGTTGTATGTATTCGTATGTATGGGATATTGCAGAAAACAAACACCATACAGGGCGACAAGTTACTCCAGCTAATAGGATTCCGTTGAAAGGAGTGCTATGCAAACGCGTGAAACAAAAGCTGAGCCTTCCTACGAAACAAGATTGTGCGTGTCGAACAGCATCGGCGTCTGTCGACTCCTGTTTTTCTTATCTGTGATGTGGGCACGACCAGAATGAGCGCAGCAGTCACTGGGCAGTAAAGCTGGCGAACCAATTGCAGCCAAAACATCATTGACATTGAGTCTTTTACTACCGCTGTTGCTATAGCCGTTACAGCTGGGAGTATTCAGCATTTCTGGCTGCTGACGACAGGCACTCGCCGGTGTCAACGAAGCAATAATTATTGCTTTGCAGGGTTGTCTGATACTGGCACCGAGTACTTGTTTATTGCGGTACGCTGCAAGTAACGTTTTTGCCAGTGGAGCTGTAGGCGTATTTATTTTCCTTGTCGCAGCAGTTTTACTGATAGAACAACGCTCAACATGGTGTAATAATAATAATTTCATTTCATTAGATTTTGCTGAAGCAGATACGCCTTCTTTTTCGTCTCTGCTATTCATGAGAGCTTGTGACCTCTCTGCAGTAAATATGATTACGTTTGGCAGCGGTGGCATCCCAATCTCATGTTGTTTGAATAACCAATAATTTAAAAAGTACTAGTTTTACTATGAATTCATTGCAAATATATAGTCGAAAAAAAGGTCGGACAAATTTTTCCGACTGGGATTGCCCTTCTGGGGTCTATAGAAAGGCTAGCTAATAAGCGATGAAGTAAATTCGCACAAATTAGAAATATTCGGTGTTTTGTCGTGTTACTGTACTGTACATGAACGTACGGTACTGTCGTGTACATGAAATGTCTGTCTCCGAAAATGTTGATTATTGTCCATGTGTTAATTTGCTTACTCATACTTATTTTATAATTTATTCCGATCTTGATTGTCTCATCGCGCTTTTAGGTTAGGTAGCAGACGCTAGTAATGAATTTTATTGGGATGTATGGGTATTTTGTCATGAAAATGTATCGGTAATTAGGCGGAATTGAGTACTATCAAAACCGTTCAGTGACGACAATGACTTGGTGTGACTTGCACTTATTATAATAATATGAAATAGGCGCAAGTCGCGCCAGATATATTTTGTCGATAATGAACCAGTCAATGGTAATGGCAGGGTAACAGTTTTGCGGCAAAAAGACATCACAAAACGCGTAGTTGAATTGCAATATGGTTGCTTAGGTGGAGCGTTTAGATACTTGTGCTTGAAAAGATGTAATGCAAGTTTTTGGTAGCTATTCTTAGGACATAAATTAGTATAAACGTTGCGCTTTTTTATATTTAAACATGTTCTGATTTGAGCTGATTACTTGGATATTTGCCTAGGAACGTGTTTGCGGGCTACGGTAAACAAGAATTTTATTGATTATGAGTATTTAAATATACGACGAACCGATCAGCTTTGTCAATCAGGGACCTGTTGAATAATAACAGAAAACTAAGCTGTATATATCGCTTTCAGGTTAGCCTGGGCCTCGAAAATAGCCGAAAGCATGAGTCTTCATGGGATGAAATGTACAATCTTCAAGAGCAAGCGCTCATCCGCCAGGACTGTCAGAAACTTGTTGGTGAGTAGGATTTCCTAGATAATTCGGCTCCCCAAAGCTCATTGTTAAAATAAAATAGGGCAGTTAGCAACAAATCTAAGTAGGACGAGTTTGTTTCAATTGTTTAGGGACAATAACATTGCAACGCTTGGCGCTAAAACATTATGTAAACATTTAAAATAGCTATAATTGGGTCAGCAGGTATAATTTGACGCTTTATTCTAATATTTTATCATTATTCCGCCAGTTTCAGATTTTCTTTTGTTCTAAGATTTAGGCTTAATCGCTTGTATCAACTGTCATCGGAAGTGACGTAAATCAAACGCAAAAACGTAATAGATTGTGAAGCAGGAAAACGACTGCTTTGTCTATATGGAATGGTGCAACTTATAGGTTATAGACTGAAATATTTTACCAAAGTCTATGTCTAGTTCTAAACAATAAACTTGAAATATCTTTTTCAAATTAATCTATACATAATAACACATGTGTGTTATCGTATATTGCCACCCAGATAAACACTTCTAACTGTAGATATATAAAATCATTTTGTTCTATTTTTATATACATTAGAGTACGTTTTTACTTCCGGATATACTGATACAAAAGCTGATTTTATAGCTGGTTATCTCCAATTGCGTGTCGGCTTGCTGCACTCAGAACGTCATATTAACTGTAACAAACCAATGATTGACAACGAAAATGATTGTGTTTATTCCGTTTTTCGTCGACGTTCTAGGAAAAAAAGATGCCTTTTATGTCTACGCTTTTCGTCGTCTTGCGAATCCTTTCAAAATATCATACACCCCAACCCCTATATTCACGAGCTTGTCTGCGTGACGTGAAAATAATACTATCGCAGTAGGCGCTAGCACTTAACTATCAAACAATGGACTGAACACGGAACGCGAGACATGTATCTGAGATTCTTTCGTATTGACCGACCACGTAGCGTGTTCTTTCGACAGCAGACAGAGAGAATAGCATTTTTTGATAAAGTCAAATCTGATTTGATTCTAGCGGAGCTAGTCCGATCTGCCCATTGTTGCCCTTTTTGCTAACATTTCTGGACGAGCTGCCAGCCAAAGCGTCAATACCGGCGACTATCGTCGATTCCAGGGGGACAGAGTTAAAGCGAAGCACGACGCTAGGACAACATCTCTATAGTCCATAGGGTCGACTGATGCCGATATCGTTGACGCTGGTGGTAACTGCGGGTATCGTTCTCTATGTAAATCGTTTGCGCACTCATCAGTGGGGTGGCACTGTGATAGGAATAGTTTTGTCCGTTGAGAGGAAAAGCATCCAACAAAGCGATTTTTTCTCCTGATTAGAGGAGGCTTTGTGGTTGGTTCCTAGCGTCCCAGCAACATTGTATTCAGTTTGATAGACTTCGTAGGCGCCTGAATTACACTTGTTTATTATGTATCATACGAGATAGTCTACCTCGAAGATAGGCTGCAGATTCAGGGATAAGTACGATTGAATCTAATTTACGCCAGGCGTTATCAGTTTTTCTTTTGCATGTATCACAATTTGCCATCAATACTATATACGTGCATTTGAAGCGTAAGCCTCCTAAGGTCAGCATAGGGTTTGTTTAGTTATACCGTACTACTTCTAGCCACATGCGTTCGTTGTATGCAAGTGATCTCCTCAGTCGTCCTATTTGTTACCCTTAATTAGGACAGGCAGCTGATATGTATAGCTTAAGGTTGTTCTTCATACTATTATATAGAACTGTCAAGTCGGCATTGAGCGATTTTACCTTACTTACGGACTACACGTCGATGTTTCAAGGTCGACCAAAGTATTTGGTAACAGCTTACTGCTTTTGCCTTATGCAATCAGTGTGTTAAATGCCTGTATAAATTGTCTTCGAGCAGTCGATGATGTCTCTTCTGCGAACGGCCGGACGGCACTGGTTAGAACCTATTCTTGCTCGCGAAACGTTCGCGAACGAAAGGAATTCGAAACGAAGGATTCGTAGTCAGGCCAAATGCATGATATACGAAATACTCGTTTTTTGCAACTCTGTTTTTCATTTGACAGCATTCACTGACTGTGAAGGTACGCCACGGTATATCTCATGTAGAAGTTCAATACGACGATCGTTTTAAGGAATGGCGCATATTGAACAACAGCGCTAGTCTATTTGTGAATGAATTATTTATGATGTGTCATGAACCCTTCTATCGTTGATTTGTGATTAACGCTCGTTTGTCGAAAGCGCCTATAGAGACAGGTTAGTCCAAATGGGTTATTAGGCTGTAGATTGGACGGCTACAACGTTTGTGTATTGCAATCAGCTGTTTCTTTCTGCCGTTAGGTGTGATCACCATTCACAGTAGGTTGTTCTTGGCGTTTATGTATGTATATATTAATGTGTGTACCATGGAAGAAAAAAACTCAGCCACTGGCAGTGGCAGCTGAGTAAATTCTTGTAGTGACGGCGCCCTGTCACAGTCACTAGGTCAGGTTTAGTACGGAACAAGCGTACCCGTACGTACCCGCCTTATTAAGCACACAGTGTTGTATCTATACATTCTGAAACATCCCATTCTAGTACAATGGAATCTCCCCTATGACAATTTGTTATAGATATAAATTGGTGGGATGCTCGATCGAGAGATGGACAAAACGTGCCAGTGTCAACTTCTAGAAAGGAAGACCTCGATAGCAGTAGTAAATTGTGTCTCCGAGACTATACGCGCGTGTCTGTACGTGCGCCGGTAATTGTCACCACGAATTTCTATCAGCTGCGGCATCTCCTGACAACTGTCCGTCCGCGGTCTCGTCGAAGAAATTAAAGCGCAGACAGGGTTTAGGCATAAAATTAAACATCGCAAAACTGCTTGAAAGTATTTAATCATGGCCGAATGCTTTGTTTGATCGGAAACACCTCAACTATAGTGACTACAGCGGTAGAATCTGAAGTTTTTCAGCAAAATAAACACACTGCAAGTAACTTAAAAGCTCGTTCACTTGAGGGATTGCGACACAATACCGATGCAGATGGGAAAAAATCAAAAGCATGACGTCCTTGATGAGACGACGTAGAAGACGAGTTTTCCCGATCAAGTAATAGAAAGAGCACGAAACCATAAGCTTCTCATAGTATGTTCTCATGTTTTGGCTACTTGAATGCTATTTTTAGGGTTCTATATAAATGAGTTTATATCTACCTCTGTATCTGTAAATCTACAGATAAGTCGGAACACATAATAGCTCTAGCATTATTTATACCAGACCAATATAGTCATCTTTAATCGGGTCGCATTCGGGGGTAACTTATCGTTGTGTAATTTAATTGAATAACAACTCGCATAACCTTATTTACCTACGACCGTGAGCCGTCCCCAGGCACAGATGTAATGCTAGCGAGGACTATCTAATGGGTATATAAAGACACCGTTATCTTCACGACATTGAATGTGTGTGAGGTTGTGACACATTTACCACCCTTCGATTTCATTTAACTTTGAAAGGCAGAAGTAGGAAATACGAAACTTTAGCTCAAGTTATGCATCATTATCATTTAAGTTTGTAGCGATTATTGGCAATGAAAACACTTTTACTAAGAGTTCTGCAATTTATAAAACCGTGCCTCTCGATGGTTGATAGTGGCTGGTGGAGCTATCTATCTGATTGTGCGTTTTCATTACTTCTCTCAAGCTCCGGAGTAAACTTAATGACCACGTTTTAACTGCTTATGCACGTACACAATATCTTTTAGCAGAGTGAAAAAAAAACCAAGGCAAGTATGATTGCTCAATCCGTTCTAGTCAAAGAACCGTGTTAACAGAAAAACACTTGAATATTATGGGAAGCCGTCATGTATCCTGACTCTGATTTGATTTGACAGATTGTCCAAGCGGTACCTCCGCTAGATACACACTCATATTTTATTATTAGATATTAATTTTAGTAAAAAGCAATCATCGGCAATCGCCAAACGTAACAAGTCAGACCTTTTTATATAGACAGCTCAATCTAAAAGCAGTCAGGCGCTTAGAGCTATCCACATGGCTTATCGCTATAAGGACATGAGGAAGAACGGACACCGATTTGGTGGCTCGTGTCTCGCCTTTCTTTGGTTTAGTTCCGTAGGGGCCAATTTGCGCCTAAGCAATGTGGATAGGATCAGATATACTTTGCAATGTATATATACATAACTGCTACAACGTCATGTCGCGACATGTATGTCACTATGTATGACATGTATGTGTTGCTAGTACAAAAGAGATTTGTTTCACGGTTGTTGAATTAAGAAATAGTAGCTTTCGTAGAAACGCGGTTTCTTTCAAACACAAACGCCTCATCACGGACCTCGGCCTTGGAGTTTAGCCGACCATTACATCTATCCCGCTCTGTCGTCAATTCCAATGACGTATCGTGACGACGCACCAGTATCGCCGCAAGTTCGATTCAGTTTGGCAACAAGCGATGTTACGATAGCGATGAAAATGCCCGGAATTAACCATTAGTAACGCCATATACGTGTGGCATTTGCGTCAAGTGAATGGGAAAAATCTTTAGGCTCATAGAAGCCTTCGGATTCAGGCTGGTCTCTAGGCAGATGCACAGCGGATGTATTGCGGTGCAGTTGCCTACTATCACTTGTTTTTTGGCAATCAATCAACTGCTTTAAAGATTCGGGACAATATCAAGCGTGAACAGTAACATATAGCCGTTCCAACTGAATTGAAGGCATCAACCATTTTGCAGAGATTTCTAAGAAATGCCTAGTATTCTAAAGACGTGTGCAAAATTAGCGACGATGTTCATATGCTGACAAAAACTCCAGCCGCCAGAACCAGAATTCGCCAACTAACTTCTACGTGTACTTAACTATAACTGATGGGCAGTGGATCATCGAACGTCTCGAGTAAGGAGAGTTCTCATTGTGGTGAGTGTACGTCGGCAACCTGTGGAACGACACGAATTGATGGACTTCGGAAATATACAGATGATAATTAGAAGATGACTCGTATTTTTTTTTTCTGTGTGAATACATCTTG